TGATAAGAATGTTGTTTATTGGTCCAGTGGTGAGGATTTTTGTTTCCTTTATATTGAGATACAATCCATACCATAGATTTGGTGGCAGTTGGTTTAGGTTTTTGGGTGATGTAAAAATAGGGTTTCCCATTAATAGGACTTGAGGCTTTTGCTGTAAATCTTTATGGAAGCAAACTGCCACATGGTGAATTCTAATTGCCAGCCTTTTGATTAACTTTTGGCAACAGTAGTGAGGTTGGTCCAGGATCAGGCAGTATTTCGTTCTGCTGTGAAAAAGGTTGCTATGAGTCATCACCGACTCGATGGCACCTTACAACAACAACAACAACAGGGCAGAGTAGAACATTCCTTTGGGTTTCCAGAGCTGTAAATCTGTATGGGAGCAGACAGTCTCATCTTTCTTCTGCAAAGTGGCTGGTGGACTTGAACCACTGACCTTGCAGTTAGCAGCCCACCACTTCATCAGGGTTCCTGGAAACTCTATGGGGGCAGTTCTATCTACTCTGTCCTATAGGGTTGTTATGCATTGGGAAGGACTCCATATAATAGGTTTGATTTGGATGCTCATGAAACCCATCATGGAAGCAGCTTATGACCCATCCTCTCGTAAGATGCATTACATCTATCACTATCACCCACATATACTTTTTTTTAAAGAAAAGGTTTCTTAATCATTGCAGCACGATCTTTAATAGATGGGGAAATGTATGTTGTTTATTTGTAATAGAGATGGAAACTAAGATAAAACTGTGCCATTGGAAGAAAATTAAAAAAAGGAATTCAAACTAGAAAAATGCTTTGATTATTAAGTATGATAAAGTATTTCTTAGAATATTTTATAAAGGGATTGATGTGGTACACATCACCAGCTAAATAATCATTGGACTGTTGTTGTTGTGTGCTGCTGAGTCAGATCCAACTTATAGTGACCCTGTGTAGGGTTTCTGACAGTGGCTAGTGGGTTTGAACTGCCGACCTCGTGGTTACCAGACTAGGCATACAATCAACCTGTCATTGAGTTGACTGACTCATTGTGACCCTGTATGGATTTCTGAGACTGTAAATCTTCTCAGAAACAGACTGCCTCATCTTTCTTCCATGGAATTGTTGGTGGACCTGAACTATTGAGCTTGTAGTAATTTTCCCAACGCCTCTCCAACAGTACCATCAGGGCTTCTAAGGCACACAATAAAGTAGAAAATAAAACCTAACATAGGGGAAAAGTTTTGTAACAACCCCACTTAAAAAGTAATTCTGATCTATTATATAGGTTTTATTTATACACATATACAAAAAACACATAGGTATTAGGAGTCCTCATGGCACTCTGGGTTAAGCATTGAGCTGCTAATCACAAAGTTGGTAGTTCAAACCCACCAGCTGCTCCCGGAAGAAAAATAAGGTTATCTGCCTCTGCAAAGATTTAGTCCTGGAAACCCCAAGGATCATATCTACCCTGTCCTATCGGGTTGCTATGAGTGGGAATCAACTCCGTAGTAGTGGGTGTTTGGTTTACATAGGTATAGCTATAGGAACTATTTCCTTTAGAAAAGATAAAGTTATGAATATTGAATTCCAAAGGGAAGCTATTTTGGAACATCAGTTTTGCTAAATAAATTCAAAATTGCAATATGGTGTGAATCTGCATCTTAACTTTGATGTAAATGTTTATTACTCTGTTAATGTGAAATTAGGTTACTTGGATATATGGCACTATATGTATAGTACTTTTTTATTTTTAAGTTTTTTGTGTGAATTGAGTGAAAGTTTACAGGGAAGATCATTAGCTTT